CTCTCTCTCTCTCTACTTGAAACTCTCGTCTCTCGAGCAAATGAGAAATTGTTTGGTGAAAAAACCCTCTTTCTCTAATTGGAAACACTCGAGCATGACTCGAATTGGGGCTTCACTAGAATGAAAGCAGTCGGAGAAAAAACCCTCCATCTCCGTCGCATTATCTATCGCTCTGCTTGAAACTCTCCGTTGCGCTCTCTCGTTAAAAACCTAGGATCGAAGAACTTTTGTATTCGTGCGAAAAAAAATTGGACTCCCTGCAGCCGCGTGATTGTATTCGACCGGTTTAATTTTAAAACCGCCGCGTTTGTTCCCGAATCCAATGTCTTTAGATATCATTGCAGCAGCGGTCATTAAGACCGCCTGGTCTAAACCGCCGGCTTAGACCATTTTTCTCGTAGGATCAATCTCATCCTTGGTAGGTAGACGACAAAGGTCTTCATTATCCCCTGTAGAAATAACAGGCTCTATGAGGCTTAGCAAATCAGTAGATTTATTTGGATGGGATGATTTGAATTGGTTCTGGAAATGCTTCAAAAACATTGTCTTGACCTTTGCTGCTCTATCATAACTCCAAGTACCATATGGACACTTAAGCGCATCAATGCTGATGTGTTGGCAATGGTGTATAGCAAAGAGTTCGGATTTCCCGCACCTGGTTTTGTGTGTGCAAGGGTGCACTCCCAATCAAATTGGGACACGCTAGAATTTGGATAGCACTCCAACTCAAATATGCGAGCCATATAAACGGCTAGTTTGCCTCTATTAGTTTTTTAATAGTACTTAGAAAATAAAAGAAAGGGTGAAAACTTTCCGCAACCGCAAGACTATTCCATGACAAACTTTAATATTGTTTGTAAAACCCTAATCCCTTTTCCTTCGTTTAGCATAGAATGAAGGAAAAATAAGAACTCCAAATAGAGAGATATACACTCTACTCTACATATCTCATGAAACATGGGATGAAGACAATGGGCACAAATCTATCACTCCATGAATGCTGATCTCCATAGATGAAGACATTGCTATAGAAAACTATCAAGGGATTAGTGAAGCATATGAAATCTTGACTGATGCGTAACAAAGAAAACTGTTGCATACCAAACCAGCTCTAACCTGGTGCCGATGCATCAATAAACGATTGTAGACCAAATAAGGGTGGAAGTCATTTGCAAGAAATTGTTTCAGGTGCCCATCGTTTCTTATTCACTTGAGTACTATGCTTTTTTCAAAATACTTGCAACCCAATATGAACTGGATTCGGTAATGACTCTCTTTTTAAGTCAAATTTATAAAACGTCAACTTTATTTTCTAATGATGGTATTGAGAAGAAATCATGACAATGGAGACTTCACAAATTAGGAAGCATGTTAAATTAACGTCTACTAATTTTGCTTTTGAACTTATCTCAACTTGAATATTTCTGAATCTTTACCTCAATCAATTGGATAGAGTATACACTATAAAGTCATCAAAACAACAAGATTTGCCTGTTTGTTGCTTTAGTTCTCATTTGCAGAATAAGAAACAGGAAAGTTTACCATGGAGGAGCTATGCTAGCACTTCTAGTATAAACAATTCAACACCAGAATTTTTTCCCCTGCAATCGTTCGTTAATGGCATCTGCTCCATGGAAGGGCTAGGTCTGAACAGTTTTCTCTATATTTTTTACCGTCTGTAGAGCTGGGCGGTCAAAGTATCTATTTTTATTCTTTCTTTTAAAATTTTAGTTTGAAAAAATTGAGATATTAAAAAAATGCAAACGGTCCCGTTAAATGATTCGCACATGTGACCTGGAATACCATGCGAAGTCTGATTGCAAAATATTGATCTCACTGCGCATATTAGTCATCTGTTGGAAAATATTGCCAAAATGATATTGGTTCCACTAACTCAAAGCTCGACGGACATTTTGAATGCAACAACCAATACCATTATGAGCACCAACCTAGCCACCTCCATAGCTGCCTTACATCCTTCATCTCGTAACCACATCGCCTCAAATTTGAAAATACCCCGCCGAGGTTGAGTATCTCCATTGGAATCTAGTAATAACGGGTAATGGTCTGATTGTATGGCCGCCGGTAAGTGATGCACCATTGCTCGTGGAAAGAGCTCCCTCCAAGCAATCAGCATTTAACAAGTATGCCATTTTATCTTCTACTTCTATACATGAGAATAGTTAAGGCTGATCATTCTTGGCCCCGCCCAACTTGCAAATTTCCGAGCCTGGGCACAGGTTTTTGTGTGCAAGCCCAACCCAGCCCCGCATCAAGCCCGACCCAATCCATAATATAATATATATTTTTAAATATACAATATAACATTATATTATATATGTTATATATAAGTATATTTTATTTTATATTAAATGTTTATTATTTTATAGGATATAAAAATTTTAAATTTTAACATATAAATAAATATTAATTAGTTGGCACATGTTAATACATGTGTGAACACTTGAGCCAATTCAAGTATGTAAATTGTTCTCTTATGCAAAGCCTTGTATAGATAAAGGCCTTGCSTAAGCAATGGTAGTATTCGCTATTTAGGGTCTGTTTGGTTTGCAGGAATAGGGGTCTGGAATCGGAGTATTCTGATTCCAACTGTTTAGTTGGGTGGAATGGGAATCTCATTCCCATTATTGCTGGAATGGCATTCCCCTACTTGAGGGAATGACCATTCCCTTTCCCTTACTTGGGAATGAAATCGCATTCCTGCTGATTTTAATTCCCATTCTCATTCCTGTCTGAACTAAACAGAGAATGAGAATTGATCATTTCGATTCTGATTCCAGAATATTTCAATTCTGATTCCGATTCCAATTCTGACTACGAATCAAACGGACCCTTAGTATTGTTCCAAGTTTCACATAATAAGAATCGAAGTTTTACCTTCATCTATAAAAGCATATGCAAACCAAGCTAAACCAGCTGGAAGAATTAAATGAGGCTCATGCTTTTTTTTGTGCATAAGGTAAAAACTTAGCCAAGCTCAATTTTTCTTTGGCTTGTGTTATATATATATATATATATATATTGCATGTATTATATTAAAAAAAAAATTAAATATTGAATACCATAAGGCTAAACTCATTACTCATTAAGCCCGAAAAACCCGTAAATCCAACCCAGGCTTGAGCTTTCCGGCCATGATCACCCCTAAGGATAGCTCAACATATGTACAATGGTGGAAAGATACGACGCAATCCCCTCCGTGAATTTTGATAATGAATACAGCCGATTGGTTACTAATTCTGATCGAGAGAGATGAAAAGATTCTCCGAGGATGCATGTACTGTGCTATGATGGTTTTGCTGTTATCCACTTGAACTGGTAAATTAATTATTTTATTTTCTATCTCTTCCCTTGTCCTTTATGCATTTAAGACGTCGCTGCAGATTCATGAGTTCCTGTACAGTACTGAGTACTGACAATATGCAGAACTACAAACAAAGATCCATCTCTTATCTCTCCCAAGGGAAAGAAAACAGTGTAATTGGTGGCTGAAGCTGAATATTTGTTTAAAGCCTATTTGCTTTTGTTTGAAGGGAAAAGATAAGAGGTGAGGGAATCACATCAAAGACTACTCTTTGTCCTTTCTATTGTAATAATGTGGATACCACGGGAACTGGAAGGCTGGAAGCTGGTTTTAATGGAACAATGAAGGTCCCAAGCTGTTCACTGATGTGCTTTGGTTTGTTCATCCATCATTTTTCTTTTCCTTGGAGGGGGTTTATCGTTTTTTCGGATTTTGAGAGGGAAAAGTTGGTGAATGATATTTTGGTTTGTATTGAATAAGAATTTTATGTTTTTTTTTTTTTTTAAATTTATATGAGGATCAAGAAAAGTTTATTTTCCTAGTTAGGTATCTTCTAAGTGGGTAAATAAATTTTTCACTTAAAGAGAAAATTTCTAACATTTGAATAGGACAAAAATACCCCTTTTAGTAATAAATTTGTATGGCTAAAATGGTAATTATCTTATTTACCTAGGAAATAAAAGAACACAAGAAAATGTCCCAGGTTTCTCAGGAAAAACTTGCCCAAGTAATTACATTTACCCGGGTAAGTATAATATCAAATCAACTTGTCCATGACTCTAATTTTATTAATGGGCTAGATTCTAAAATCTTTCATCAATTCTAATTACTTCTCAATTCAAAATAACTGGACAGGGATGATCGTGGGACTGGTTGTTCGGTTAATTGTGGGCTTAATTGTGAAACTGAATTGGTATGATAGGTTTTTGGAAAACCACTAACTGAAACTAAATTGAAGTCGATCGGTTAACCGCCGATTCGGTTCATCATTTTTTTGACTTTTTTTTTAAATTATAAATATATATATACATATAACAAAATCCTACAAATATATATAAAATATTACATTTTAAATAATAAATAATATATTATATATATTTGTATATATAATACATATTTATTAATTTATAATATATAGGAAATACAAAAGATATATAAAAAATACATCTAATATATATAGAAGTATATGTATACTAATCGGTTTGGTTAACCGTTGATTTTCTATATTGGTTAAACAAAACTGAACCGATACTTTTGGTTTTTTAAAAAATGATGAACAAAAACCGGACTGACCGGTTCTTTGGTTCAGTTTTGATCGGTTTTGGTTCAATTCAGTTTTTCCTACTCACCCCAAGCTTATATGTTTAAAAATTAAAATTTAGTTTGATTTTATGATCAAAAGTACAGAAAATATATCTAAGTTTTATTTTATTGTATATATTATATATTATACCATATATATCCATGCATACCAATATAGATATATATTTGTAATATTATGGGCGTGAAAAAAATTGTAATATTATGAATAAAATGACTTAAGAATAGCTTCCATATATATACAAGGCTTGAATCTCTTGAGTATTTTTTTTTTTTTTTTTTTGATATAAAAAAATATATTAAAAGATAGATAAATACAAAAAATTGAATGTAATATAAGCATTCTATTCGTATCAATCGGACTGTGGTGGATCCAATCTTCATCCCCAGCCGTTGTGTTAATCCTGGGATATCAATCGAATGCCTATAAATAACCGGAAAGGAGAAGACCCATTTCTTCCCTTGAGCCAAAATTATTGGGAAATTAAACCCATCCATCTCTGATCTCTCATCTGCTGTGGTTGCAAGGCTATATGGGAACGGAAACCCAAACCCCTACTCCTCCTCTTCCTCTCCATTCCCTTGAGGTGTTGCGCCGTACGCCTCTAAACCGTGCCTTCGCGCTGGTTTATGCCTGTGCCATCTCGGCTCTACTGTATCGCCATGCGTGCACTCTCCTCTCTGCCTCTGCAACCACCTTCTTTTCCTTTTCCCTTTCTTTCTCCTTGCTACTCTCCGACGCCGTTCTCGCTTTTATGTGGGTAACCATACAGTCATTCCGGATATGTCCGGTCCGTCGCAGTGTGTTCATAGAGAATCTCAGCCGGGTAGTTGAGGAGAAGTGCTTTCCGGCGTTGGACGTATTTATATGCACCGCCGATCCATTGAAGGAGCCACCGTTGAGTGTGGTAAACACTGCCTTATCAGTGATGGCCTACGATTATCCGACAGAGAAGGTGTCTGTGTACGTATCGGATGACGGGGGTTCGCAGCTTACGCTGTTTGCATTCATGGAAGCTGCCAAGTTTGCTAGACAGTGGCTGCCTTTCTGCAGGAAGAACGAAATAGAGGAAAGGTGCCCCGATGTGTATTTTGGATCTACTCTGACTCGCAATTGCGCCCAAACGGAGAAGATGAAGGTAAGACTGATGTATGTATATATATGTATAAAAAAAAAATGTGGTCTAGATCTGCTATAAAGAAGGCAAAATTTTTTGTCTAGTTGAGTAAACTAAAAGACGAAAAGCCCTTGAATCCTGAGTTCTGAGCACATCACAGCCCCATTGAAGGAGGAAGCAAGCAAGCGTCCTTGACTCCTTTCGTGTTTATTGGGTTAATTTGTTAGCCCTTTGATATTTATGCACGCCTTATTTGTAGCGGATCCAAAAATACTTCTGGTTCTGGTGGTAGAAGTAGGAGGACCCGTCCGTTTTGATAACAGCTGAAGTTCATGAAAAAATCAGTTCAGGGGTATCACAACTGGCACACAATGCATGTGAACTGTACTCACACTCACATATAACATGGATCCCATTCAGCCATTAAAAACGGTACACAACCTTGTTTTCAGTTTCCAGTACTAGTACACACACCAGAGAAGAGTAAAGTAAGCTTCATCCTTTCTCTTTTTCATTTTTGTTTTCTTTTGTGCTTTCGTTTTCCCCGGGCCCTTTTTTCCACCAGCTGTTCTGTTTGTTTTTAGCTACCAACATTCAATAATTTGCATGTCGTATCATTATTGTCCTTGGAATGGAATAAGTTAGATCTTGGGGTGGTATTAATTTTAGAGCCCTATGTGCAACTTTATAAAGAAGAAACAAGAAACGCTAGGCGCTAGCTGTCATCATCTATTTTTGATTTGTTAAATATTCCAATTCAAATGTGTTGTTATTTGTTTGAAATTTTGACATTGTGTCTTATTAATAAATAAGACAAAAAACACCCATAATTTTTATATATTATTAAAAAAATAATTTATAAATAATGTTCATTTCATGTAGCATTAATAAAATGGCTTAAAACAATTATAACTTGTATGACACTCGAACCTCTCATTCTTTTGTGAACCTAAAACATTCAACCTGGCCAATTTCAATTGTTGGATTGAGTGAATCCATCCATATCAACGAGTTGAGCTTAATTAGGATTGGGTTTGAATTTGAATTTCAGCAAATAGATACGTTTTTACAGCTACAAGCAACCTATGCTTTATCCATGATTAAGTGTTATATCATCCTCTGTCATCATTATCATATTATGTCACAGAAAAAGATTTAACAATTTTTTCCCTACCATTGATATGGTAATCTATATTGTCAAGCTTCTGAATCGATCTTTATATTATCTTTATCCCCAAAAAACGAAAAGAAAAATACTTTGTATCATATTATATGGGTTTAGATATGATAAATATGATGAGAAGCCAATCAAAATCATCTCCTTCCCTTTTTTTGATAAAATATCCCTCTTTTATATATTACAATATTTTAAAATATTATAAATTAAACCAGTCCCCTTGAACCGGTTTTGAAAACAATAAAAAAAAAAGAAAAAAAATACTGTTATGGATCCAACATATTGATATTTTGAACTTATTTATAAATTATTATTCACGAGAAATATTTCAATACACGGTGGATTTTCCTGGGTCGGCTACAATAGCTCTCCTTGAAAAAGCGCTGAGAGAATAGCGATAGCTTCCATTTCCTTCCTTGTTGTCTGTCTGTGACTCTGTCGCAATCAATTCGCCGAGTCTCTTTAAATTCAAGACTATGGACCTGATGAGATCATGAGATGACCACGAGATCACCACTTCATTGGTCATTTGGTTGCAACTCGCAAACTCCAAAACAAAATTCTCAGGTATATACTTTATACCTCATTTTTTTTCTCGTCTCTGCAGATAATGTATGAAAGCATGAAAGAGAAGATAGAGAGTGTGATGGAGAGGGGAGGTGGATTTCTGGATGACTTGATCATCAGCGACCACGAACGTCAAGCTTTTAATAAATGGACGCCCGGATTTACACGTCGAGATCATCCTACAATAATTGAGGTCTACAATCTTTTTTTCCTTTTAAACCTCAATCACGTGACTCCTCATTCACTTGCACGTGTGCCGGTAGGTTTCGTTATAGAATAATAGAAATAGAGTGGTAGTAATTTCTTTTCTTTTCTTTTTTTTTTTGTCTGTTTTGTTTGGAACCTTTGTGAGAGCAGGTTTTGTTGGATAGTGGGAAGGATAAGGATATTACAGGCAATGCAATGCCAAACCTGGTGTACGTCTCCCGCGAAAAAAGCAGTAGTTGGCCCCACCATTTCAAGGCCGGAGCCCTTAACGTCTTAGTAAGCAACCTTCCTCTTCTTAATTCTCACATGCTTGATTAATAATTTAATACAGCCTTACACTATTCACTTCTCACTAGACCTGTTCATGGCCGGGTGGCCCGACGGGCCGGCCCAGCCCAGCCCGATTCCTGGATGGGCTTGAACAGGCTTTTTGTCCTGTAGGCTTAACCTCGGGCCAAAAAGCCTGGCCCGCATAAAATTCGAGCCGGGCTCGGGCTTTGCCAAAATAGCTCGGTCCGACCTATAGTTAAACCTAAGTAAAAACCCTATGTGATGTCCATTTGAATAAATTTTTTGATTTGAGAAGGTTATTGATTCACTTGTAAGTCCATTGTTCATTTAAATATGGGAAAAAAACATCTGAATTAAAATAGATAATGTCTATTTGAATAGGGAAAATTTTGATTTTCTTTTATTAGGTCGAGTTTCGGGCTCGGGCTTCGGGCAAGTTCTAGGCCCGTTGGTCGGGCTGGGTTGGGCTCGAACCTATTATTTTTTTGTTATTGAACACTAAAAGCCCGGTCCAAGCCCGGCCCGGCCCATGAACAGGTCTACTGCTTACTACTACATTGATTCTTAGGCTGTGTTTGGTTGCAATACAAATGAATTTACAATACTGCAAAACTATTATATAGGGGAAATGATTTGAGTATAAATTTTGACATTGTGTTATTTTAAATATTAGTTTATTTTGTTTGATTGCAATACAAATGAACTAAATTAAGATACGGATAAAGTAAAACCCAAAACAAAATTAAATAAGAATTTAGACCCCGTTTGGTTCGAAAGAATAGGGGTCTGGAATTGGAATAGGAATGAACTATTCTAATTCCAACTGTTTGATTGAACGGAATCAGAATCCTATTCCCATTTCTGTTGGGATGGCATTCCCCCATATAAGGGAATTAATGGCCATTCCCTATCCCTCTCTTAGGAATGAAATCCCATTCCTTCTTATTGCAATTCCCATTTCCATTCCTGTCCGAACCAAATAGACTATGGTATAGACCATTCCGATTCTGATTCTGATTTCAAAAGATTTAAATTCCGATTCCAATTCTATCTGTGAACCAAACGGACTTTTACATTTTCCTTTTCATTTGCACTCACATACATTTGTACTAATGCAAATAAATTTACACTGCAACCGAACATAACCTTATTTTCACCCTTTATCGAACTTTTTTCTTAATTCAAAATTTAAACCATACGAAAGGATTAGTTAATTTTGTTTGTGCGTTGAAGCTGCGAGTATCAGAGACCATGAGCAATGCACCAGTCGTATTAAACTTGGACTGTGACATGTACTCCAACGATCCCAGAACCCCTCTTCGTGTTCTCTGCTATCTATTCGACCCTGCTGCTGCATCCAAATTAGCCTACGTACAATTTCCTCAGCGATTCCATGGGATTGACAAGCACGATATTTATGGTAATGAACATAAGATTTTGTATCAGTTATATCCCGCCGGGTCAGATGCTTTTGCAGGCCCAAATTACGTCGGCAGTGGATGTTTTTTCCGCCGACGAGCGCTGTTCGGAGGACCATCCTCATTGTTATCCTCTAGAATCCTAAAAGACAAGCCCATAACATCTGCAACGGTTTCTACATTGTCTCGCTCTCATCATGTAGCCAGTTGCACATTTGAGCATGGAACCGATTGGGGTTATAAGGTAAATAGTAAAGTGTTTTAACTTTTGTATGCAACATTTCTATGGTGCCGGAAAAGTTATGGTGAATTAACTACCATTGATGCAGATAGGCTTTAGATATGGATCCTTATCTGAAGACTACCACACGGGATATTGGCTACACAACGAGGGGTGGAAGTCAGTATTTTGCAATCCTGACAGGGCTGCATTCTTGGGGGACACGCCACTCAGCCTCAATGATGCACTCAGCCAAAACAGACGTTGGTGTGTTGGTCTACTGCAGGTGGCCTTCTCCAGGTACAACCCAATTACCTTCGGTATTAGATCCATGGGCCTGCTCGTGGCCCTTAACTATGCTTACAATGCATATTGGGCCATATGGTCCATTCCCATCATCATCTATGCCATCGTCCCCCAGCTAGCTCTCATCAATGGGGTCTCCATGTTCCCAGCGGTACGTATTTGTGTATTCCCTCTCAACCTCTCATGCTATGGCATTACATAAGAAGAGAATAAGCTGAAAAAAAATGGATGGCATGGTGATGGTGCATGCAGATGTGGGACCCTTGGTTCTATTTGTACTGGTTCCTTTTCCTGGGAGCTTATGGACAAGATGCTATTGAGTTCACCCTAGCAGGAAGCACAATCCAGAGGTGGTGGAACGATCAAAGAATGTGGTTGATAAGGGGAGTCTCATCTTACCTATTCGGGTCCA